GAGCCAGACAGAGAACGCAGGAGTCCGGGCTCCCAGCCTCCCTGCTGTAACCCACTAGACCCCACTGCCCTCCCCCGGATTCCTGGGTCCCACTCCCTGTCCTCCTAGGGTCGAAAGGCCTGCGTTACCATCCCGGACGCCTGGGTCCCATGCCCTCCCCACACCTGCACTGCGGCTCAGCAGAGCGGGTCCCTGGCCCCAGGCCCAGAGCTGAGTCACCCCCGGCCTGGCAGAGATGGGACGACGGAAAGCGGCCTCCAGGGGGCGCCTGGGACACAGCCAGCCCAGCCCCACAGCTAGGGGGCGGGGGGTCTGGCCGGGGTCTTGTCTCCCTCCCCCTAAACCCCACATCCTCCCCCTCGCCAGATCCCAACGGCCCCTGCCCCCTTTGGGGCCCAAATGCCCCGGCACTGGCGGGGGAAGGGTGAGTCGGACATGGTGCCCCATGTCAAGGGAGGATAAAAGCCCACCTGCTGCCAGTGGCAGAGGGAGTGCCCCCTGAGGGAAGCCCCGGCTCAAACCCCGCCCCCAGCTCCGGCGTCCCCCCACGGCGCAACTCCTACCCCCCAAATACCCCAAACAAGACCCGGGCTTTTGTAAATCAGCAAAATAGTTTAATATCTCCAAAAAAAAAAAAAAATAGATTTGGCGGGGGGTGGGGGGAAATCAGAGAACAGCAGGGGGGGCGATTGAGCCGCCCCCCAGCAGGGGGGAGGAGCCGCGGGGTCCGTCCGTCTCAGATCATCCTCTGGAAAGTCTCCACCGCCTCCGTCACCTTCTGCAGCTCGGTCCGGCTCTGCTGCAGCTGCAGGAGACACGCGGCCGGGCATGAAGGGTGGGGGTGGGGGTGGGGGTGGGGCGAGGCCCCCCACAGCACAGCACCTCCCCCAGACTCCCTGCCTGGCTCCCCCATAACACAGCCTCCCCGCCCAGCAAACCCTGCCTGGCCCCCCACATCACAGCGCCCCGTTCCCCCCCGCACAGCATATCCTCCCAAGCCCCCCAGAACAGCCCCCCGCTCGCAGCGCCCCAAGAAGGAGCGTCCCTTCCTGACCCCAGCAGGGGGGCCCTGCATGAGGGTGGGAGTCACCCGCCGGGGGGGGCAGCCGGGTACCTTGGCAGCGTCGGCCTCCTGGACCTTGGGGGGCACCTTGGTGCCGTAATCGGGGGTTCCCATCCGCTCCCGCAGCCGCTCGATCTGCTTCTGCAGCTCACCCTGCTTCCCGGCCAGCTTGGAGATCTCCTTCTCCGCGTCGATCAGACCCTGGGGAGCACAGAGCCCTGCCCGTCAGCCGCCCGGATGCCGGGGTCCCGCTCGCTGGCTGCGGTTCTGTGGGGAGAGCCCCCCGGACACCTGGGTCCCACTCACTGCTCTGGTCGTCTAGGGGAGAGCACCCTGCAGGGCCACCCGGACGCCTGGGTCCCACTCACTGCTCTGGTTGTCTAGGGGAGAGCACCCTGCAGGGCCACCCGGACGCCTGGGTCCCGCTTGCTGGCTCCAGCCGTCTAGGGGAGAGCACCCCGCAGGGCCGCCCCGGACACCTGGGTCTAATCCCCATGCCAGTCTCCAGCCCCCTAGGGGTGAGAGCCCTGTGCTGGCAGCCCGGACGCCTGGGTCCCCTTCCCCGGCCCCTCTCACCTTGAGCAGCAGGTGGACGGTGCACTTGTCGGAGGCGACGGCCACGGCGCAGCCAGCAGGGGGCGCCTCGCCCGGGCCCAGCACCCGCACCAGGCCAGAGGAGGAGAGGCTGCGGATGTAGGCGGAGCAGCGGCTGGCGGCGTCGGCCGCGCCCGAGTCCAGGCACTGCAGGAAACCTGGGGAGGGGACGACGGGGAGAGGTCAGGGGGTGCTCGGGGAGGGGTCAGAGGTCACGGGGTTTGGGGGAGGGCAGATGTCCCCCCCAGGCAGATACCCACAGTCGGCTCTGGTCCGGGTGAGGTTGTAGTCGGCCCGCAGGGAGCGCACGGCGCGGACGATGCCCAGCGAGAACTCGACTGTGCCCTCCAGCCCCCAGTCCCGCCAGCAGAACTGGAGCGGAGAAGAAAGGGTTAATGGTGCCCCTCACTCCCGACCCGCAGCCCCTGGGTGTCCCATTCCCCCCCCCCACCCCCAGCTCTGCCGGTGCCCCTCACTCCCGACCCGCAGCCCCTGCCAGACAGCCCTGGGCTCCCCCCAGCTCTACCGGTGCCCCTCACTCCCAACCCGCAGCCCCTGCTAGCCCAGCCCCTCCCCCCAGGCCTGGCGGTGCCCCTCACTCCCGACCCGCAGCCCCTGCCAGACAGCCCTGGGCTCCCCCCAGCTCTGCCGGTGCCCCTCACTCCCACACCGCAGCCCCTGCCAGCCCAGCCCTGGGCTCCCTCCCCCAGCCCTGCGGGTGCCCCCACTCCCGCCCCACAGGTTACCTGCTCGGGGCTGGGGTAGGGGGTGACGCAGATGCTGGGGGGGGCGTGGGGGGCGCGGCGGGGCAGGCGCTGGAACAGCTCCTCGCTGACGAAGGGCATGAAGGGGGAGAGGAGCCTCAGGCCGACGTCCAGGCAGGTGTAGAGGGTGCAGCGGGCGGCCGTCACCGCAGCCGCCCCCCCCTCGGCGAACACGGGCTTCAGGCACTCCTGGGGGGAGGGGGCAGGTCAGCGCCGGCGCCCCTTGGGGGGGAGACAGGCCCCATCTCGCAGAGCCACCCCGTTCCCTGCCCCACGCCCCATTCCCTGCCCCCCCCGGCAGCCGGGAGCCAGCGTCTCTGGGGGGGAAGCCCCATGCCCCATTCCTTGCCCTCCCCCCAGCCAGCAAGAGCCGGCTTCCCTGGGGGGGCGGAAAGCCCCGTATCCCATCCTCTCCCCCCCAGCCAGCCCTCCCCCCCGCCCAGGGTCCCCCTCACCAGGTAGACGTCGCAGAGCTCGTAGAGCCAGAAGTTGTAGACGGCCGTGGTGACGGCCGGGAAGTCGTAGGCCCGGAACCCGGCGTCGCTCAGCTCCACGGCCAGGCTGAGCCGGCTCAGGATCCAGCGGTCGATCAGGCTCTCGGCGCCGCTGGGCTAGAGCCGGGGGGGAGACGCCGGTGAGCGGGGAGGGCGGCTGGTGCTGTGGGTAGTGGGGCGGGAGCAGCAGGGGGCACCAGGCGGGGAACAACGTGGGGTGATGCGGGCAGCGGGGCGGGGGCAGCAGGGGACGCCAGGCTGTGGGGGCTCGGCAGGGGGCGCTGGGCTGCGGGGGCTCAGCAGGGGGCGCTGCGCCACGGGTCCCTCTCACCTCCGGTCCCGGCGGGGGCTGGAACTCGGCCCCCAGGCCGCGGACGGCGAATTTGGTGGCGTTCCAGAGCTTGTTGCAGAAGTGCCGGTAGCCCAGGATGCGATTCACGTCCAGGTTGATGTCGCGGCCTGGCGGGCGAGGCAAAGGGAGAGGGGAACAACAAAGTGGGAATTTGGGTCATGTTTTCATGAGGCCGACGTGTGCCTCAGTTTCCCTGGCGCTCAGCATGGGAAGAGTTAAGAAGCCAGGGCAGGGCCTGGCAGGGTTTACATCTCTGGGGTGGTGCAAATAGGGCACTAGAGGGCGAGCTGAAACTGACCCATGGGCCGGCATGGGGCAGAGCCAGACCCCGAGCCGGAGAACAAAGGGGGCAGGTGGCGATGTGGAGAGAGACACCGGTGCCCACACAGAGAGATGGAGCCAGAGACCAAGAGGGAATTTTCTGTCGTGTTTTTATGACACCTGGGCATGCCTCAGTTTCCCTGTGTAGGTTGCACGGCTCCCCCAGGGGTGCCAAAGGGTCCTGGAGCGGCGCAGAAAGGGGTGGCTGGGGGCAAACTCAGCCCAGATCAACCGAGGGGCCGGGGAGCTGCGGGGGCAGCCAGGACTGGGAGCAGTGGGGCCGGCCCAGCCAAGGGGTCCCTCCCCAGCCCCACGGCAGGGCTCTCGGGGGAAGCTGGGAACTCACCCTGGGAGGTGTACGCGCAGAGGGCGAAGCGCAGGGCGTCCGTGCCGCACTCTGGGATCCCGGCGGGGTAATCGCTTTTCTGGGGGGATGGGAAGAGGGGGATCAACTCCCAGCCAACCCCGTTGTCCCCCCTCCCTGCCCCCCACATTCAGCCCCACAGGTTCCCCGCTTCCCCCCCAAGCCCCTCACCTGGCCCTGCTTGGCTCGCTCCACCTCGGCCGGCTCCAGGTTGCTCTCCAGGAGCTGCGCGTGCAAACCCTGCGGGGGGAGAACGGACACGGCTCGGGACGGCGCCGACTGGGGACATGGGTCCAGGCTGTCGAGAGCCTGAGCCCATCGCCCGGAGAGCCGCGCGCCGCCCCAGGAATCGCCACAGGTCGGTAACTCTGAAACCTACTGATGGACAGCTTCCAGCTAACCCCGCCCTAGGCCCAGACGGGGAGCCCCCTGCCGATCCAGGCGGCTGTCGGGCTACATGGCAGGGGTTCGGTAACATCTGGGAGGACGGGTTGGGGGGGCCAGATGTCCCTCCCCAGCGGTTACCTCCAGCGTGATCCCACTGATCACATCCAGCGGGTCGATGACGTTGCCTAACGACTTGCTCATTTTCCTGCCGTGGGCGTCCCGGACAACGGCGTGAAGGTAAACCTGAAACAGAGCCGGGCGGAGCGGGATCAGGGCTGCCCCGAGGCCCCAGGGCGGGGCTGGGGGGAGCCGTGCTGGGGGGGGGGGGGGGGCGCGCCGTGCCCCGCTCTTACCTCGCGGAAGGGCAGCTTGCCCGTCAGCTTCAACCCCAGCATGACCATGCGCGCCACCCAGAAGAAGAGGATGTCGTGGCCCGTCTCCAGCAGGGTCCCCGGGTAGAAAACCTTCAGGTCTTCGCTCTGCCGGGACAGACAGACGGTGACGGGACAGAGCCGGACGCCTGGGTCCCATTCCCCAGCCCCACCAGGGGTGAGCCCCCTGTGCTGCCGTTCCATCCCCCATCCCTCCCAAGGGGTGAGTGCCCTGCACTGCCATCCCGGACGCCTGGGTCCCATCCCCGCGTCTCAGACTCACGGCGTTGGGCCAGCCGAAGATGGAGAACGGGAAGAGGCCGGAGGAGAACCAGGTGTCCAGGACGTCGTCGTCTGGGAACGAGAGTGACAGGGAGAAACGTACGGATGGACGTTAGTACAGGAGCCGACGGTGCGTGCCAGGCAACCGGCAGGGGGCGCTGTTCTAAAAGCAGATGCCCCTCACTCCTGACCCGCAGCCCCCGGCCCGCCCCGGCCATACCTTGCCGTAGCGAGATCTTGTCCGTGGTCACCCCAAAGGCCTTGGCCGCTTTGTCCTTGGCCTCCTCTTCGCTCCGCCCGCTCACCCAGTATCGGCCGTCCGTGTCCTGGGAGGGGGGTAACCAGATGTCAGACCCATGGGCCCATCGACCCTGGCGTCCCACCCCTCCTGGCTCAGACCCCTGGGCCCATCTACCCCAGCGTCCTGCCCTCCTCCCCGGCTCAGACCCCTGGGCCCATCGATCCCGGCGTCCTGCCCCTCCGGGCTCAGACCCAGGGCTCTATCCAGCTCGGTTTCCCCCGTTACATAATCCTGTTGCAGTGAGTTCCACAGGTTAACGTGAATCAAAGCTGAATTCCCTTGCGTCAGTTTGTTTCCTCCTGCTGCCCCCAAATACTGCCCCACACCCATGGTTTTGGGGTGGGCACTGACACAGATTCCCCCTCCCAGCTATTATCTGGGGTTTCTGCCCCCCCTCACCTCTCCTGGGGGCACCGAGGGGTCGTCGATGGTGACGAAGTAGGCTGGGATGCGGTGGCCCCACCACAGCTGCCGGGAGATGCACCAGTCCCTGAAGGAGAAAGTGCCTCAGACGTCACCTGGGATATTACTGCCTCCTCGTGGCAGGGCAGGGCAGGGCGGATAAAAGCCCTACTACCGTGGCTGCAGCAGAGGGAGCTCCCCCGGGGCCTCACCTGATATTGTCCATCCACTGGAACCAGGTCTTGCAGTGGAAGGGGGGCAGGATGCGCAGGTCCCCGCGGCGCACAGCGTCGGCCGCCCCCCGAGCCAGCCCCTCGCAGCGCACGTACCACTGCGGCTTCAGCAGCGGCTCCACCACGTCCTTCGAGCGGCTGGGGGGTGACAAATAGTCCCTGTGTCCTTCTGCCAGCCCCATCGCTCCCCTCGCGGGGCAGCCTTCCGGTGCCCCCCATATCCCCCAGGAGCCCCCTGCACTCAGGGGCCTAACCGCGCACGGATGTCCTTCACCTGTCCAAGTGATCCCTGCACCGATATCCCTCTGCACCCTCCAGAGTCCCCCCTCCCTGTCCACATACAGATATCCCTCCGCCCCCTCACAAAGTGTTCCCTCTCCCAGATATCCCTCCTCAGCATCTCCCTCCTTCTTTCTGCACACGTATCCCTCCGCCACCGAGAGCCACCCTCACCTCTCCTTCAGATACCCATCCCCCCACATCCTTCCTGATGCACAGATATCCCTCCGCCCCCCAAGAGACCCTCCCCTTGGACCCCGACTCCCTGTATCCCCCCCATCTCCCTCTGCACTCAAACACGTCCCCCTAAACCATCAGGCCACCGCACACGTATCCCTTCGCCCCTCAAAATAGTCCCCCACTTCTTCACACTTCTATCCCTCCCAGTGGCAAATCACCCCCCCTTCACAGATACCCCTCCGCCTCCCTTAGCAAGTGCCACTCTAACTCCCGCCCTCCTATGAGGATACCCCTCCGCCCCATCAAAGAGTCCCCCCTCACCTGCACACCGGCACCACCATGGGGTTGTCCTTGACTTCCTTGAACAGCCCCTTCTGCTTCAGGGCCTCGAGCACAGCCCCCCGGGCCTCGAACCGCTTCATACCCTGCATTGGGTGGGGAGCAAGGAGGGTCAGATCCCTGGGGCCCATCCAGCCCGGTATCCCACCTCTACCACCACAGATCAGACCCCCAGGCCCAGCCTGGTATTATCCCACTACTGCCACCACAGATCAGAGCCCCGGGGCCCACCCAACCCGGTATCCCACTACTGCCACCACAGATCAGACCCGCACTGGGGCCCATCCAGTCTGGTATCTCCTGCCCTAGATCAGACCTAAGAATTCCCCTGCCCCAGTTTAATGCCCCGCTGCTGACACCACCAGTCCAAGCCCTGGGCCCATCCAGCTCAGTATCCACCCCCCAGCCTGCTGGTCCCCCCCATACCAGGAAGGGGGGAGGCACGTTGATGAGGCACCCGCTGTCGTCGATAATGGTGACGCAGTCCAGGCCGTGGCGCTGCCCCACCTCATAGTCGTTGTGGTCGTGGGCCGGGGTGATCTTCACTGCGCCTGGGGGGCGGGGGGGCAGGCGTCAGACATGCTTCGCGATTCGCTGCAGCCCAAGTGCCCCTCCCCTTTCACCCCCAGCCTCACTCCACTCCCCAGGCACTGACCTCGCTGAGAGCCCACCAACAACCCTGGGACCTGTCCCCAGCCCCATATTCACTCCACACCACATAGCCCCTCCCATGACTCTGGGCCCTGCCTCCCCACCCCAAGTCACTCCACCCCCTTCACTTCCCTTGGCTGGGCCCCTCCTGTATTTCACATCACACCTCCCTAGGCCCCGCTCACATTCACTAGGCCCTGGCCCCATTGGCTTCTTTGTCAGGCCCCTCCCCCATTCCCACCTCTCCTCCAGGCCCCGCCCCTGCCCTAGGCCCCGCCCCCACATACCAGTCCCAAAGCCCATGTCCACGAAGTCGTCGCAGACGATGGGCATGCGCCGCCCAGTGAAGGGGTGCAGGACGCACTTCCCATGGAGATGCTGGAACGGGGAGGAGACGAGGGGGTCACTTGGGGGACCCCAAAACCAGACACCCCCAGGGATCACCCAGCAACCTCCCCTTCCCCCCCAAGCTCACACGCTCCCCACCCAGGGCAGGTACCTGGTAGCGGGGATCCTGAGGATGCACCGCCACGGCCGTGTCCCCCAGCATGGTCTCCACCCGCGTCGTCGCCACAACAACCTCCTCGTCTGTGGGGAGAGAGTCAGACGGTGAGACCCCCCCGAGCCAGCCCCAGCCCCACCCCCACCCTGGATCAGAACCAGCCCCCCCTACAGGGGACGTGCCCCATTCCCTGCCCCACCCCCACCCCAGATCAGAACCAGCACCCCCTACAGGGGACAGGACCCATGCCCCATTTCCTGC